CCACCCACCCACCCTTCTTGCCTGACAGTGCCGGCATGCTCCCAGAGCAATTGGGGGCAAGATTATCTACAAATCCCCATCTGTGTTTAGAAAGAGTTCCTTCAGTGTAAAAGCTAATTAGCCTGGAACGTCGGTTTCTAAATAACAACTCCCCCCAAATAAGAAAGTAAGCCTCCAGATTAAGCCCTAACTCTTGGGATGCGACGAGCAATGTTTGTCTTCCATCCAGAAATGCATTTTTAAGTGCTTTATTTCCACAGTACCAACGCCTCTGTGTCCCTCTACAGCCAACTGCATCTGAAACGTTGTAGACAGGTCTTTGGAGAAAGGGGCTGAATTGTTTTTGGACGGAATTCAGTTCTTTAAAATCTTCTTCTTCTTCTTCTTCTTCTTTGAACGTCAATGGAAAGTGCCATGGGTCTATAAGTAAATAAACATGTATACATGGGAAGCATTGTTCCCTCTAAGCTGAGTTCGTGTGAGCTAGCTCGCAGGATTTCAGCCTCCGGCTCACACGTTTTTGTCTCAGCACAGGAAAGACGGCTCCAGAGCAAACTAATTTATGCAGCCGTCAAATCGCTCGCTCGCTCGCAACTTTCATACAGGTAGCTCACCAAGTAGGATTTTTGCTCACAAGACTCCACAGCTTAGAGGGAGCGTTGAATTGGGGAGTATATGTAAAATACGTGCTTTCACAGGGTTAGCCGTGTTAGTCTAGAGTAGGAAAAAACGAAAGGTGTCCGCAATATAAGCTTTCGAGAGTCAATGGAACGTTGATTCCCCACAGTTTATACCCCGGAAAATCTTGTCGGTCCCTAAAATGCCGGCGGACTCGGACCTAGATGTAAACCAATGGTGATAAACTCATTATTTCCTTCTTTTAATTCTGAGAGCGTAAAGCTTTGGGAAATATGACTTGCATTTTGTGCCGAGCTGTTTTTCACATTCCTTTCACGGCTTTTAAAAACAAAACAAAAAAAAACAAAACACGGATTCTCCAGTTTCCAAACTCACTTCGCAAAAGCCCAACCGTATACAAGGGAACTGTTCCAAACGACC